GAAAATGTTTTGAGAATGATGTACAAATGCGCTTTACACAATTGATGTGTGTATGAATTGCGATAACAGTTGTATGAGCCCCTAATAAAATGTTTAAAAAAAATTGTAGTTTGGTTAAGCATCCTTTACAGATGCAGGGAGGGGGACTCAGTGGCTATATCCATGTAAAGGCATTTAAAGTAAAGGCATTTAATGGTAAAGCCCTGACACCTAATCTGATTCTCCGCCTGGGAAACCTCATCCTGAGATTAAAGGCAGCTGCAGGCACTGGCTGGGTTGGGTTAGCCTGGCCTTGGGAGAGCACATCAGTACTCCAGGCTGTGCATACCAGGGAACAGAAACCTGGGCGTGGGGATTCAGAGCAGAGGTGTCAACTGACACCTGCTCCTCCTGCAGGGTCCGGAACTTAGAGTTGACTTTCATGGTATAGAACAGGGTTTTCCCAGCATATCCACAGAACCTACCCTATCAAGAACTACCTAATTGATCGTGTGGAATTTCAGTCAAGCTTTTCTGGAGTGAAACAGCACACTGATTTTCTCTCAACCTTTGCTAATCGGGATCAAACGGGAAACTAGTTGGAGACTCCAGTCTATTCTATTCTCGTCTTTTAAAGCCTCTGATGTTCTAGATTGTACATCTGCTTTGAGTCATTACGAATTTCCCTGGAGAGCTGATCATTAATTTTACATGAGCTGCATTGATCTCTGCATGGAAAACCCTCTAATCAATGTGTTTCTTTCTGCATGTCTCAGGTCATGGGGCTATTTAATGGGCTATGGTTTGCAAAAACAATAAAAATTAAAGGAATGGATGGGCTAGATCAGAATATATAGAGTTGTAAAATCAAATTTTGGGGGATAGGCATGTGCATGTGTTTCTGTGAGTGTGAAGAAGTGTGCATACTGAGAATAAGTAAGTGAATGTAAAATGTGAACATGTGTCATCGTGAGTTAGCAGATGTGAGCATGTGCACAGATTGAAATGTGAGTGCATGAGTTTGTGTGCACAGTGAGAATGTAAAACAAGTCAGGCCCCTACAGGAGGAAAGAATTGTCTCCTTTGAATCAGTCCTTTGAAACTCCTTTGAAACAGCTGGAGATTCCTCAAGGTCCCTGGAACAGCCAGTCTTTTGAGATGAAATAATGACTTAATTACCACTTTGAAGGTCAGCAGAAAGAACTGATATCATAAGTCTAATGTAAATGCAGGGGAGGGTAAGAGAAAACAAAGGCCATTTACTTCCTCCTGTGTGATGCTGAATTTCACCTTAACTTGCACATGTGCTCCTCAGCCCTGCGAGTTTGGTTACATTTCAAACTTAACCAAATTAAAGAGGAAAATATATAGCTTACTGTAACAGACCTGGATTCTTCCTGGATGTCAACTATTTATTACAATTTATGAGGAATCAGAAATATCTTATTGTTTGTAACATAAAAAACAGAGGGACTATTAGGACTTGTACCGTATATACTTCTGTATAAGCTGACTTTTTCAGCACATTTTTAATGCAGTTTTGTGGTAAAATTAGGTGCCTCAGCTGATATTGGAGTCAGCTTATACTCAAGTATATACCATAAGTTATTTGTGAGATAGAGGTTTGCTTTGCTTTTTTGAGAAATCAATGGGATATGGAGCTTGGGGTAGCTTTTGGTCCCCGCTGCCCACCTGCTCTTTCCTTGCGGGCATTGCCCCACAGGTAATGGTAAGATCTAGTCATCGTCCCAGAGTAATGATGATCCTTGATGGAAACAGAGTCCATAACTTGGCCAGCATCAGAAGAAAGCCCTGATCCAAAGACTAAGTGGTAGGCCTAGAACTCCCATGGGAGACTATTTCCTGGGCCCACAGGGAGGCCTTTCAGAATCTCCATGGCCTGGGTCACCACTAGTCAATGGCTGTCTGGAAGCATCCATGTAGGTCTTGATGAAGACCAGGTCTACCAGGTCAGGGCAAAATTATTTTTAGGGAATCCAGAAGAGGCAAAAAAGGTTTTCCACCATGCCCAATTTCCTCCAAGGAAACCAAACCACTCCGAAGAATTCCCTCATGAGCAAGCTGTGTTTCCCATACAGAACGAAAGGAAAGAAGGTGATCCCGACACTACTAAGCTCCCTCTAGCTGATCACCCACTCATGTCAGACATGCTCCCCAGCCAGCCCCAGGGATACATCTCCTCATGGCCAGTCAGCACTGTCTCTTCATGTACTACTCACCCAGTTTTATTCACCCTTCACCCAACTTCATGCCACCCCCACTGTCTTCAGGTAGAAGGCATTGTCCTGGCTGTCCTCTGGTCCCATGAGTATTTTGCAGAGGACTTCATGGGGGGCAGGATCTTGAAGAGTTACTGAGGGTACAGGCTTCAAGGTCTTATGGTCCCAATGCTGAGAGATCTGTGATGGTGGAGTTTCCCAATCTCTTCTCTCAATCTGAACTCTGGAAATTTCTCTGATCATTTCATTTGACACATATATCTGTTAATGGAAGGTAAGTCCTTGAAAGAGAATCTGAGAATGGGCATATTTTGTAGTAATGTTCCTCACAATGGCAAATCAAGTAGAGGAGAGAAGGCAGTGGTTTCCATTTTCTAGCAAAATTAGAGAAGGGGGTTCGAGAGAGGGGCAAAATGAAAGTAATGGCAACAATTAGATTGAGGTATCTCCAACGTGGATTGAATTATTTCTCCCCCAAATATGGAGAGGTCATAATTCCCAGTGTTTTGTGATTTCCCTCGATGTTGTAATCTGATGTGACCATCCTCCATCTTTTAATGCATTGTAACCCCCACCCACTGCTGTAGTTACTGAAGAAGGTGTAAGCCATGTTCAAGAAGATTGTCATTGTTGTTCAGGGCCATGGAGTTGGTTCCACTTAATAGTGACCCCAAGCAAACAGAATGAAACTCTGCTCAGTCCTGCGCCTTGCTAGTCACCATTGTTATGTTTGAGCCCATCGATGCAGGCCCTGCGTCAGTCCCTCTCCTTATTGGCCTTCCTCTGTTTCGCTGGCCCTCCCATTCACCAAGCATGGTGTCCGTTTTTAGAGAGTAAACGCTCCTGATAACATGCACAAAGCATAGGAAACGAAGTGTTCCAAATCCTTGTTCTAAGGAGCATTCTGTCTGTATGTTTTCTGAGACCTATTTGGTTCTTCTTCTTTCAGTCCATGATACTTTTAATATTCATCACCAGCACCATAATTCAAATTCACTGACTCCTCTGGGGTCTTCCATATTCCTAGTCCAACTCTCGCATGCATATGAGGTGATGGGAAATGCCTGGGCTTGGGTGAGGCGCACCTTAGTCGTCAAGGTGATGTCGTTGCTCTTTAACACTTTAAAACGATCTTGTGCAGCAGATTGACCCAATGCCATTTATACTTTGGTTTCTTAACTACTGCTTCCATGAGCACAGATTGTCCATCCAAGCAAGATGAAATCCTTGATAACTTTGATATTTTCTTCACATGTAAGGAATGGTATTAGGTGCCATCGAGTCTGTTCTGACTCTTAGGGACCCCATGCATAACAGAACAAGACCCTACCCAGTCCTGAGCCATCCTCAAGACTGTTCCTAATTTGGAGCATCATTGCAGCCACTGGGTTAAGCCACCTCCTGGAGGCCTTTCTTCTTTTTTGCTGCCCCTCCCCTTTACCAAGCCTGGTGGATGTCCTTCTGCGGGGACTGGTGTCTCCTGAGAACAAGTCCAAAGTATGTAAGACAGAGTCTTGCCATCCTTGCCTCTAAGAAGCAATCTGACCATACTATTTCCAAAATAGAATGTTCTTTTGGTAGTTCGTGGTACTTTCACTATTCTTTGCCAGCACCATAATTCAAACGCATCGATGTAGTCTTCCTTATTCAATGTCCAACTTTCACATGCATGTGAGACCATTGAAAATACCATGACTCAGGTCAGGCACACCTTAGTCCTCAAAGTAACCTCCCTGCTTTTCAACACCCTGTGCCGCAGATTTGCCCAGTGCAGTGCATCTATTGATGTCTCGACTACTGTTTCCATGAGTACTGATTGTGGGTCCAAGCATGGCAAAGCCCTTGCCAAGTTCAACTTTTTCTCTGTGTATTCTTTCCTGCTTCTTTGATGCTTCCTGCAGCATTTGATCTCTTTCCCATAGAACATGTCAATATTGCAACTTGAGCTTGAATTCTTTCCTTCCGTTCTTTCAGTTTAAGATGTGCTGACTATGTTCTTCCTGTTTGGTTTTCTACCTCTAGGATATTGCACATTTCATTATCATAGTTGACTTTGTCTCCTGGGGCTGCCCTTTGAAATCTTCTATTCAGCTCTTTGACTTCATCATTTCTTCCATTTGCCTCAGGTATGCTATGATTAAGAGCAAGTTTCAGAGTTTCTTCTGACACCCACATTTGATTTTTTTTTTGTTTTAGTTTTATTTTTAGCCCTAGGAATGTTCAAGGGCAGGGGACGTTCAGTCACCAGAAAGCAGGCAGAGTTTTGGGACAGACCTATCTCAAGGGCTCCTAGCCCAGTGAACATGGACTAGACTCCAGGCCTCAAGAGTTGTGAGAAGAACATTCTGTTCTTTAAAGCCAATCACTTTTGGAAGTCCTTCAGTACCGATCAAGGGGTCATGGTAGCATAGCATTTATGTATTGGGCTGCTAACCGCAAGGTCAGCAGTTTGAAACCACCAACCGCTCTGAGAGAAAGGCATGGCTTCTTACTCCGGTAAAGAGTTAGCCAGAGAAGCCCACAGGGGCCGTTTTACCCTGTCCTGTAGGGTTGGTATGAGCCAGCATCAACTCGATGACAGTAAGAGTTTTAGGTACCAAAAGTGCTCAGAGGGTTTGTCTCTCTGGGTCAAGAATTTTAAGAAGTTATTTTTATAAATACGGAGAGCAGCACTTTTCTTCCCTCTCACAATAAAGTTCAGTGCCTTTTCACATGACTGTACCTGAAAAATGCCTGTTTGTCATTTCCTTTAAATTCTAAGTGGAATAAAAGCTTTAAAAAATGTTTTGAAATTCATATTGTATTTTTTTTTTATGTTTAAGTAGTTGTTTTTTTATTAAAGGACCATTTTATTGGGGTTCTTACAGCTCTTATAACAATCCATACATCAGTTATACTGAGCATATTTGTACATATGCTGCCATCATTCTTTTCTTTTTTTCATATCTTATTTTTATTTATTTATTTATTTACTTTTTAAAATCAATTTATTGGGGCTCATACAATTAATCACAATACATAGATCAATTGTATAAAACACATCTATACATTTGTTGCCCTCATTATTCCCAAAATTCGCTTGCCTCTTGTCACATTGTATTTATGCATTACTGTTTACCTTAGTAGTTATTGAGACGACAGAGATTCAAACTTTGTTAATGTAGGTTTCTCTTGTTGTTCAATTCCCTGTAAGTGGATTTGAAACATTTAGTAGCAAACGATGTGAAAGAAGGATTGCTAGGACCACCAAGTGGATTTTATCCACTGTGTGCACACGCAGAGCTGCCGGTGGGGTTAAATCACTGGCCCTTCGGTCAGCAGTCCTCAGGGCGATCCACCCCCAAATGTACATGTCACCTGCATGATCACTCATATTGTTTTATTTCTAACTCAGATGTCATTGTCTCATCTTGGCTGTGGATCCAAACAGTGGGTTAGGGATATTAATTATGATGATTCCTGTCTTGCCCTGTGCACTCAGCCATCCTAACGCTTTTGCTCTTCTTCTTCTTCTCTCTGCAGGTCACTCCATTGCTTACTGACATGGAGGACTCCACAGCAGCCCCTCGTGCCCCACTCTCTGCCTCCTTCCCCTCTATGGTGCCTTACCACACAGGTTGGAGCCTTTCACCACAGGCAGGAGCCATGAACTTAGAGAAAGCCTTAGCAGAGGGGAACTTGTTGGTGGTGGTCTCTGTAGTCCAGGAGACTCTGAAAATAGCATCCAGCACCCCAGTAAATATTGCTGTGACTGGGGACTCTGGCAATGGTATGTCTACCTTTATAAATGCTCTAAGGGGCATTGGGCATGAAGAGGAGGATTCAGCTCCCACTGGAGTGGTAAAAACCACTTACACACATGCCTCCTACTCATCCCTGCATTTTCCAAATACATTACTCTGGGATCTACCTGGCATGGAGACTACTCCCCAGAACCTAGAGAAGTATATCATGGAAATGGAGTTCAGCCGGTATGACCTCTTCATCATCATTGCCTCTGAACAGTTTAGCATGAATCATGTGATGCTTGCCAAGACCATCAAGAGTATGAGAAAGAAGTTCTACATTGTCTGGACCAAACTGGACACGGACCTCAGCACAAGTGTGCTCGGGGAGGAGCAGCTCCTGAAGAATAGACGAGTGAACATCTTGGAGAATCTCCAGAAGGTGCAGGTGTGTGAGCCCCCCCTATTCATGGTCTCCAGCCTTGACCCTCTATTTTATGACTTCCCAAAGCTCCGGGATACATTGCAAAAGGACCTGATCCACATAAGATGCCACGGGCCCCTTCAAAAGCTGTCTGACACCTGTGAGAAGATCCTTAATGACAAAGTTGTGACCCTGCAGGAGAAAATAGATGCACATTCTTTCCAAGACATCTGGGACCCAGATGATTTGATGGAGTGTCTGGCTGCTTACCAATTGCTCTTTGGTATGAATGATGAATCTATCCAGCAGGTGGCACAAAAGATGGGAACAGCAACCATGGAGTACACAGCCCTCATGAAATCTCAAAATCCATGGACTTTCAGCAGAATTGACTGCAAAATGGCATGCTTGACTTGTAGAGTCTTTCAGGCATTCCTCAATGCTTTACGTTGTATTCCACTGTTAGGTAACCCTATCACCAACTACTTCAGACGAATGAAACACAAACACATCCTTCAGATAGTTGCCAAGGACAGCAAGGTCATCTTGAGGAAAATCCTGAAAGATTCCACCATTCCAGGCTGAAAGCATATTTGGGACTACACTCACACACTTGCTTGCGTGTTTTGTCTTAATAGACATAGCAGTTACATAATCTATTGTCAATTTGATACTGTTAGAGTGAAGGGGTGGAGTTTAGCCTGTCAATCAAGTCAACGCTTGATGACCTCATTTGAAGGCACTAAGGAGGTGGGACACACACTCACTCCCTGTGATACATTACTGGTGACAAGCCTGATGGAGCTACACTGATGCAGTCAGAGCCCTGGAGCTGGAGGAGCCACATGGAGACCTATGCCAGAGCTGAGATGTTTCTACTGACAGTGGACCCACAAGACTTTCCACCCACTCGCCTGTGCGCTTCCTGCATTGGGTGGTCGTTGCATGTGTTTCATGAGTCTGAAGAGGAATTTATAGATTGGTATCAGACATATTGGCTAATAATGGACTTATGAAGTTGATCTGGACTGGGCTGGGATATTTTTTCAATATTCAATTGCTCTTGTATATAAAGCTCTTTCTTTCTTTTTTTTAACATTTTATTAGGGGCTCAGACAACTGTTATCACAATCCATACACACATCAATTGTGTAAAGCACATTTGTACATCATTCTCAAAACATTTTCTCTCCACTTAAACCCCTGACATTAGGTCCTCATTTTTCCCCTCCCTCCACGCTCCCCCGTCCCTCATGAGCCCTTGATAGTTTATAAATTTTTATTTTGTCATATCTTGCCCTGTCCGATGTCTCCCTTCATCCACTTTTCTGTTGTCCATCCCCCATGGAGGATGTCACATATTGTTCCTTGTAATTGGTTCCCTCTTTCCTACCTGGATTTGTTTCTCTAGTCTACCTGGACTAACACGATAGAGTACACCATTCTCTTCTCAAAATGAGATAGATTTAACTTAAGATTTTATTATATTCTTAATGGTCATAAATTCCTTGATAGGAATTATGAAAACTACCAATCTTTCTAGCACCAATTACAATGTCATCTGAGAAGCAAATTTTGTCAAAATTATTAAAACAATTACTGAATCATAATGTGAAATCAGAATTTGCTTCCACTTGCAATGTGTCTTATAGTCTGGATCGGTCTTTTTTCCCATGATCGCATCCAAGTTAGTATTGCTCCTCTTCACCAGCTCTGTTTTCACTTCCGCTCCCGGTTTCTTTTTTCTTCTCTTCAGCAGTCGGGATGAGGCACTCGGGATGAGGGTATGTCACCATTGTAGGGGCCATATGAAGAGTGTGACTGAAATGGCTTTTTGACACCCATTCAGAGTTGGAGCCAGGACTCCCAGTCAGGCAGGCCAAAGGGCGTACTTGTACAACACTCTACCAGCTGACTCAAACTAAGCAGTATCTTAAAATGGAATATAATGTGTATAAGTGTGATAGTTAAGTTTTGTGCCAACTTGACTGTACCAGGTTTCTCGGTAGTTTGGCAGTTGAGACCTCCCTAATGATGTCATCTAACATAATGTTATCAACTCCATGATGGGCTCTGCTTTGAGCAGCCCAACAGTTGTGGGAAGATTAGGGTGGAGTGTAACCCCTTACTCAGGCCACATCCTGATGATGTTTCCTCTGGGATGTGGCTTTCATTCTATATAAGTAGGTGGTGTGAAGAGTTTCTTCACTGTTTGCTGCTCTGGATCTGGCATCTGGCTCATCAACCTCCAGTTCTTTGGACTTGAGCCAATGACCCAACATAGAACCTGCGAACTCTACAATCTATATATCTCTGCATCAACTAGCTATGTTCTTCCTGTATTATCTTCTTGCTCCCTGGTTTGTTTTACTGATTTCTGGTTAATATTCCTGTTTCCTAGTTTATCAGCCCCGGAAGCTGCGCAAGTCAAGAAAAGCTTCCAGTTTAACATCTGATTCATGGTTTAAGGTCACTCAGCTATGCGGTGCCAAGTTATTCTTATAATATAATAAACATGCTTCAATTCATGTAACAGTAAGGATGATTTAATATAAGTATGCATTAGATATGGTCAGATGTCCCCTATGAGGTGCAACCTCTAACTTCAAAGTACAATTTATAAAAAACAAATGTTGTGTTATCCCACTTAAATAAAACATTCGGAATAGGTAAATTCATAGAGATAAAAGCTTATTATTGCTTACCAGGGCAAGTGGAAGAAGAAAATGAAGAAATATTGTTTCAGGAACAGAGTTTCTGTTTAGGATGATGAAAAATTTTGGAAATGAATAATAGTGGTGGGTGCAGATCATAATAAACACAATCAAGGTCACTAGCTGAAAATGTAAAAATAAATGAAATGGCAAATGTTTTGCTACATATACTTAACCACAATAAACTACCTATCTTAAAAAAGATGTATGAAACTGGTTGTTCTCGTAAACTTCTTAACTTAAGGTTTTCTTAAGAGTAAAAAGTAAATCTTAGAGTGAAAAATGCTTTGTTTTATAAGAATTTATACCTAACTCTCATACAAATAGTGAACTGATTAAACATCAATATTTTAATGCACTAATATTTCTCTGCCTTCATTTAAACCCAATAACTATTTATTCAAACAATTTCATTGGCATATAATTCACATATCAA